CTGAGTGGTGACAGTACGGAAAAGTTTTTTAAAATGTTTTCATTTTTTTTTATATTTTATTTTTTCCCCCCTTTTTAAGATTTTTTTTTTTTTTATATTACACTATGACCAAAGTAGTATATACCATAGAAACATTGTACTACTTTGGGGAAGTGATTAGTATTTTTTTTACACAATTTGATTGCTCATAGCAAAGAATTTATTTGCTACAAGCAAGCATTTAACTAAATGAAATCGATTCATTCATGTTTTTTCTGTTGTGATTAGCTGTGATTGGCCATGGCTAATCACATGACACAGATGGGCTGTGATCACTGTGACCATTCACAGCTAGTCACATTTGTATACAATGGATGACATGAAAGGAAGCCATCCATTGTTTACAACTGTCATGTGAATCACAGCAGGGCACATGATACTGGCAATGGGGTCAGTACACAGATCTGTCATCTGTGATACTGGCAACGTGGTCGGTACACAGATCTGTCATCTGTGACACTGGCAACGGGGTCGGTACACAGCTGGTGACAGATGTCTCTACAGCATGGCCCTGCGGGAACATACAAGACGCGATCTGGAAAGTACGTCATATAACACCCTCCCGGAGGGACGAGAGCCTCGCCCCGGACGTCATTTTACTAAAGGCCGGTGCGAGAAGTGGTTAAAGAGCAATTGTCATCTCTGTCCCACAGCAGCACCTCCTCTGACCTGCTGTTGACTCACCAACCATACCATTCGCTTTATTGGGACGGCTGGTGATGCAGCAGTGACACAACAAGGTGAGGGATGTAGCGGCAGCAGGTGAGTGGATGCCAGCTAACTGGCGCTGCCATGATGGATCTAAAATGACAGGTGCTCTGTAAATGTAAGGAATCCGACTCATTCTTGCTGGTAGTTAGAATCTGTAATATTTGCAAACCAAATGAAAGTTTCATTTTTAGAATAATAAGCTGTCAGGTTAGTAAAACAGCGATATCAGAAACGATTTTTTAGGTTAATAGGTTAATCATACATAGCTGGAGAACTACTCAAATTCTTTTATTTCATGTTTTTTCTCATGGTTACTGTGAAATTGTGTAAATGCATCAATGCAGTGCATGTTATCTCAGCTTGCAGAGCTTGGATTCATTGAATGAGTTTACCAAAAATGTAAATATTGCAGAATATACAGCCTCATGCTATATAACTACATAACTCCATTTCATGCTGAATAAACTAAATTAATTATGTATCTTAAATAGAAAACTATCTTTAGATAGATTTTTACTCCAAAAGCATATTATTAAAATAAATTTTATACAAAAAAAAATAAGTAAAAATCAGTTGTTTTTTTTCTTTTTTTTCTTTCTGTAATCATTGATTAAACCATGGCAACATTAATGTTTGTGTAGTATTATGTTCAGCAGACTGTGTTCTTCTATTGTTGTGACTTAGATGACGTTCAGAGCACATTTTATGCCCAATTAATGCAAAACTCTACGTAATCCCAAGGGGTTCACATACTTTTTCTTGCAACTGTAAATATTAAAGGGGCTGGGGGCTCTGCTGCACACAGAAGGTTTTTACCTTCGTGCATGGAATGCACAAAGGTAAAAAATCTTGAGCCTTTACAATCACTTTAAAATTGTACCTTAGGTATGGGTTGGAGTCCTATAGTCAGGTCCATAAATATTGGGACATCGACACAATTCTAACATTTTTGGCTCTATACACCACCACAATGGATTTGAAATTAAACAAACAAGATGTGCTTTAACTGCAGACTGTCAGCTTTAATTTGAGGGTATTTACATCCAAATCAGGTGAATGGTGTAGGAATTACAACAGTTTGCATATGTGCCTCCCACTTGTTAAGGGACCAAAAGTAATGGGACAGAATAATAATCATAAATCAAACTTTCACTTTTTAATACTTGGTTGCAAATCCTTTGCAGTCAATTACAGCCTGAAGTCTGGAACGCATAGACATCACCAGACGCTGGGTTTCATCCCTGGTGATGCTCTGCCACTACTGCAACTGTCTTCAGTTCCTGCTTGTTCTTGGGGCATTTTCCCTTCAGTTTTGTCTTCAGCAAGTGAAATGCATGCTCAGTCGGATTCAGGTCAGGTGATTGACTTGGCCATTGCATAACATTCCACTTCTTTCCCTTAAAAAAACTCTTTGGTTGCTTTTGCAGTATGCTTTGGGTCGTTGTCCATCTGCACTGTGAAGCGGCGTCCAATGAGTTCTGAAGCATTTGGCTGAATATGAGCAGATAATATTGCCCGAAACACTTCAGAATTCATCCTGCTGCTTTTGTCAGCAGTGACATCATCAATAAATACAAGAGAACCAGTTCCATTGGCAGCCATACATGCCCACGCCATGACACTACCACCACCATGCTTCACTGATGAGGTGGTATGCTTAGGATCATGAGCAGTTCCTTTCCTTCTCCATACTCTTCTCTTCCCATCACTCTGGTACAAGTTGATCTTGGTCTCATCTGTCCATAGGATGTTGTTCCAGAACTGTGAAGGCTTTTTTAGATGTCGTTTGGCAAACTCTAATTTGGCCTTCCTGTTTTTGAGGCTCACCAATGGTTTACATCTTGTGGTGAACCCTCTGTATTCACGCTGGTGAAGTCTTCTCTTGATTGTTTACATTGACACACATACACCTACCTCCTGGAGAGTGTTCTTGATCTGGCCAACTGTTGTGAAGGGTGTTTTCTTCACCAGGGAAAGAATTCTTCGGTCATCCACCACAGTTGTTTTCCATGGTCTTCCGGGTCTTTTGGTGTTGCTGAGCTCACCGGTGCGTTCCTTCTTTTTAAGAATATTCCAAACAGTTGTTTTGGCCACGCCTAATGTTTTTGCTATCTCTCTGATGGGTTTGTTTTGTTTTTTCAGCCTAATGATGGCTTGCTTCACTGATAGTGAAAGCTCTTTGGATCTCATCTTGAGAGTTGACAGCAACAGATTCCAAATGCAAATAGCACACTTGAAATGAACTCTGGACCTTTTATCTGCTCATTGTAATTGGGATAATGAGGGAATAACACACACCTGACCATGGAACAGCTGAGAAGCCAATTGCCCCATTACTTTTGGTCCCTTAACAAGTGGGAGGTACATATGCAAACTGTTGTAATTCCTACACCGTTCACCTGATTTGGATGTAAATACCCTGAAATTAAAGCTGACAGTCTGCAGTTAAAGCACATCTTCTCTGTTTCATTTCAAATCCATTGTGGTGGTGTATAGAGCCACAAATGTTAGAATTGTGTCGATGTCCCAATATTTATGGACCTGACTGTAGATGCCTGCCCAGGCTTGATTGGTTAGCATTCACCATATATATTACTGGAAACTTTGATACTAGTTGCCAGTACGTTTTCTGTTTTGTTTCAAGGGGATCTAGCTGAGTTCCCGCTACATGATTGTGATGATAAATATGGTTAGTGTGCACCAGGGGCGGACTGACAATTCATGGGGCCCCCGGGCAATAGGGGATCATGGGGCCCCTGTGTCCTTGCCCAAACTCAAAAAAGCCTATGAAAAAAGTACCAGGGGCATCTCATGGGGCCCTCTACTGACCCCGGGCCCTCGGGCAGTGCCCGAGTTTCCAAATGGTCAGTCCGCCCCTGGTGTGCACTAGGTGTGCTTGTTAAACGCTTCCACAGCCCCTTGGTGGGTAGGCTTTAACGCAGAACAGGCACAAAGTGAACACTTTACTGTACTGAGTGCGCGTTCCCAGTGCAGTAACTTGCGGGTTTTCGGAAAGCCGATGCATACTTGCAATTGGGAGCTTTCCGACCATGTGACTGCCAATCACAGCACTCACATGATTGGAATGCCTACCTCAACCTCTGGGCCTTTAGATGCTCTTAAAGGGCCAGGTGGTGTTTTAATGATTTTGGGTAGGCATGAGTGATAAAGAGTTTGTTTTCACTACTCTCTGTCCCCATTTGTGAGAATTCCACTTAATTCCTGTCCCAGTGTCAAGGTTTACCTTCATAGACAAAAAAGTTTTCTTCAGGCACACAACTGTAAACAACAATCTTTGTGTCTCCGTTGAAGATTTAACTGCTTTTCCTTTTGGCGACTACATTATTAGGGGGCAGAAAGTGAGGAAAAAGCTCCACAGGTAGATCTGGTTGGAGATGTACTTTATTCAGAAACATTGTAACTGACATGCTTGTGTAGTCAGAAGACTAGATACAAACTATATATTTATAGTAGAACTATAGGCAAAACTTTTTCAATAGAGTAAGGCTGGGTTCACATCCATGCAGTTTGCGTTTGATCTATTTCTGCAGTGCTTTCTGTGGTGCGTTTTGCGTTTTTGATTCGTTTGGCATTTTATTTTTCCAACTTGTTGCTGGGCAGAATAAAATGCAAAACGCATCAAAAACACACTACATGCTTTTCTGCAGCATCTCCTTTGAAGTCTATAGAACCAAAAACGCAACGGTTTGCATTTTAAAAAACTCTCTGACCCTTTCCAGAAAACGCAGAGATGTGAGCCTGTCCCATAGGAAATGATGCTAAATGGACTGCTGTGCGTTTCTGCAAAACGCAACGAAAAACGCATAGGTGTGAAACTAGACTAAGGGAGTGTTATAATCGCTGTTAGTTTTTTTTGTTTTTTTTTTTCATGTGTGGTCCATAGCAAAACCGGAAGTGAGAGGCAATCCCTGCAAATTAAGGAAATCTCTTGGGCAATCCAGGTCACCAGAACTAGTGCAGCTATTGGAAGATTTTCCCTCTATTATTGTTCTGGTGACAACACAAAATTTGGGATTTTCTTTTACTTTCAATGATAATGGTAAACAGGACATATAGGATGAATCTCACGAACAGGGGCAGAGGTAGCAATAAAAACCAGATTGGTATTCTAATCCATCGCCACTCTATCCAAAAAAAAAAAAAGAAAAAGTTTTTGCTTTTAGTTGCTTAAAGTCTTATTTTGTACTGCATTGAATATTGAATTTAACCTCTACGTTTGAACACAACAGGTGTCTATTTTGTTACCGGAGTGTGGACATTTACCTGGAAAATTAAAGAATGCGATTGATGGTTTGGGGAATTATTATCTTGTAAAAGAATTACCTCTACATGAGTTCATAACGCAAGAGTTCAGAGACACCTTTTTAAAAAAAGGTAATGCACACAAGGAAGAAAATATTCATGTCTATGCTTTTTTCAAGCCTACCGAGTAAACAAGGTAACAATGTGCAGTAACAAAGTGCATTGTCTTAGTATGATGAAGGTGATTTGTTGCTTCAGTTTACTGTTCTCTACGTGTTACCTTGTTTTAATAACTGGTTTTGGGCATTGGGAATACTACACACAGCCAAAAAAACCTTGTCTATGGGTTCATGAGTGGTACATCAAGAACTGTTCTTCTTTCTCTGTATACAAGTAATTGCCCAGGTGTGCAGGTACATCCGGTAAAATAAGTATAGTGTGGTTTTTCACTTTCTGGTTCCTTTTTGGTCATGGTGATGTAGCCATCACCACAGATGCCCCTTGGGAGGACCATGTCCATGGAGATCTTGTTTCTAAACTGTTAGGTCTTGGGGGAAGGGGGCGGGAGAAGCTTACAAAAATGTGTATTTTTGTACTGTGGATACATCAGAAAAGGCACTTGAGCTCACATGTGCCATGACATTGCACTTATCTTTTTAAAAAACAAAACAAAAAAAAATATATCCATCTGAAATCTTTCTCAAAATCTTGGGAAAATATTTTTTTTTTTTACCCTCAGCAGTTGAATGTAATGTCTTACTAACACGTGTGAGAAGAGGTGCATGACATCATGGGGTTTATTTACTAAAGCTGGAGAGTCCAAAATCAGACTCCCTTCTGCATAGAAACCAATCAGCTTCTAACCTCAGCTTGTTCAATGAAGCTTTGGCAATGAAACCTCGAAGCTGATTGGTTTCTATGCAGAAGGGAGTCTGATTTTGGACTCTCCAGCTTTAGTAAATAAACCCCCATGTGTCTGTTTTTGCGCATTCTCAGTTCGCTCGAAATGAGATGCACACCTTATGAGGCTGCAGAGAAGAGGTCTTCGCATCAATCTTAGCCTACCCCTTACCCAATGTAAAAAATGGTGACACAGAGAACACTGACGTTTTATGGTACTATGTAAATCCAGCTTATAATTTCCTGCTATGGTGACTTATCTACCTTTTATTATCTTCACTTGCAGGTTTATTTTATGCACTTTCATACAACACAAGAATTGATCAGGATAATGTTGCAGCTCTGCTGCCAACAGGTATTGTACATTTTTGGGTTTATAAATAAACAGTAAAAAATTGTAACAGCTAAAATGTAATAATATTGAGGGGAAATTGAAAGGTTTTTTTTTCTGCTTATCAGTGGAAAGCTCAGTTTAATTGAATTCTATATCTTTTATATTATGAAACATTTGTTAAGCAAGTTACAGATAGAATTAGACTGCCTATCATTTTAGCAAAGCCCACCAACGCCCTTATAGTTAATTGAGAACTACAAGCTGTCAGCTGCAACGGATGATGGTACTTGTAGGCATTCATTCACAGGAAACTGTAAATGAATGATGCAGCCGCGCTGTTTTCAAATAGTGACAGTGGGTTCAGGGAGAAGATTCCCTGCCCGCTGTCACAGGGAGAGGGATAAGACGCTGCAGATTCTGGAACATGTTCCAGAGGTGAACTTATCCTTTAACCACTTCAAGTCTGGACACTTTTACCCCCTTCCTGTCCAGGCCAATTTTCAGCTTTCAGTGCTATCACACTTTGAATGACAATTGTGCGGTTATGCAGCACTGTACCCATATCAATTTTTTAGCATTTTTTTGAGACAGACAATAATTTATTTTGGTGGTAGTTATTCACCACTGGGATTTGTATTTTTTTTGCTGTATAAATGAAAAAGTCCAAAAATTTTGAAAAAAAGCGTTTTTCTTATATAATTTTGCAAATAAATAATCTTTCTTCATAAATATTGGCCAAAATGTATTTAGCTATCTTTTTAGTAAAAAAAAAAAAAATAAGCCAAATTAGTTTATAACCAAAAATTTTTTTACATTTTTATTTTTTTTTTTATATTTGTTTATTTTGGGGGGTTGTTTTTACATACTGTCACCCTAGCAGTACAGTGTCACCATAGTGACACTGTACTACTTGGGGGTGATTGAAGTTTTTTTTTTTTTTTTTGTTACACGGATTGCTTTTACACCCACAGAGGCTGTAAAAGCAATCATTTCTCCTTCTCTCTGGCTGCATTCATGCAGCCATCAAGAAATACTGTGAGAGTTGTGATTGGTCACAGCTTGTCAAATGGTACAAGGCTGTTGTGAATAGCCTTGTACCATGTGACTTCTGTGATCATTCCCAGATTTCACAAGTAGCAAGCAATGATGTCAGAAGTGACATCTTGCTTACTACTATTCATGTGATCACTGATCGGCCAATCAGTGATCACATGATCGGGACCTCACACAGAGGTCCCATACGGTGATTGGACTTGCGGGCACCGGATAGAAGTGCCGCGCTTTCCCAAGGAGCGCGCGCAGCCTGTAAATGCAGACGCCAATTATGAATGGCAAACCGCTCCTGACTGCTCCCGTCTGGCCCTTTATGTACATGGGCCGGGCAGGAAGTGGTTAAAAAGACATTTCAGGCAACAAGGCAAATGCAAGTCAAAGCTAGTCAACAAATATTTCAAACCTTGGTGAAGCAAGAAAAATACTTTGTTTACTTCTAATCTTCTCCTTCTCAAGGCTCTTCATAAACACCACTTAAAGTGTATGTAAACCCTAACAATGCTAAGCACAGAAAATAAATCTGACTGTCCAAAGACGTCCACCACTCAAACCTGGTCTACATCAATATTGGTTAAAACATCGTGACATGAACCAGATGGAGAAATAGAATGACTGAGATATATATATACAGTGGGGATCGAAAGTTTGGGCACCCCAGCTAAAAATTTGTATTAATGTGCATAAAGAAGCCAAGGAAAGATGGAAAAATCTCCAAAAGGCATCAAATTACAGATTAGACATTCTTATAATATGTCAACAAAAGTTCGATTTTATTTCCATCATTTACACTTTCAAAATAACAGAAAACAAAAAAATGGCATCTGCAAAAGTTTGGGCACCCTGCAGAATTTGTAGCATGCACTGCCCGCTTTGCCAAGCTGAGACCTGCCAGTGTCATGGATTGTTCTCAATCATCGTCTGGGAAGACCAGGTGATGTCAATCTCAAAGGTTTTAAATGCCCAGACTCATCTGACCTTGCCCCAACAATCAGCACCATGGGTTCTTCTAAGCAGTTGTCTAGAAAACTGAAACTGAAAATAGTTGACACTCACAAAGCTGGAGAAGGCTATAAGAAGATAGCAAAGCGTTTTCAGATGTCAATATCCTCTGTTCGGAATGTAATTAAGAAATGGCAGTCATCAGAAACAGTGGAAGTTAAAGCAAGATCTGGAAGACCAAGAAAAATATCAGACAGAACAGCTCGCAGGATTGTGAGAAAAACAATTCAAAACCCACGTTTGACTGCACGATCCCTCCAGAAAGATCTGACAGACACTGGAGTTGTGGTACACTATTCCACTATAAAGAGATACTTGTACAAATATGGTCTTCATGGAAGAGTCATCAGAAGAAAACCTCTTCTACGTTCTCACCACAAAAATCATCGTTTGAACTTTGGAAATGAACATATAGACAAGCCTGATGCATTTTGGAAACAAGTTCTGTGGACCGATGAGGTTAAAATTGAACTTTTTGGCCGGAATGAGCAAAGGTACGTTTGGAAAAGAAGGGGCACAGAATTTAATGAAAAGAACCTCTGTCCAACTGTTAAGCATGGGGTTGGATCAATCATGCTTTGGGGTTGTGTTGCAGCCAGTGGCACAGGGAACATCTCACAAGTAGAAGGAAAAATGGATTCAATAAAATTTCAGCAAATTTTGGATGGTAACTTGATGCCATCTGTGAAAAAGCTGAAGTTAAAGAGAGGATGGCTTCTACAAATGGATAATGATCCTAAACACACCTCGAAATCCACGGGGGATTACATCAAGAGGCGTAAACTGAAGGTTTTGCCATGGCCTTCACAATCTCCTGACCTCAACATAATTGAAAATCTATGGATAGACCTTAAAAGAGCAGTGCGTGACAGACAGCCCAGAAATCTCAAAGAACTGGAAGACTTTTGTAAGGAAGAATGGGCAAAGATACCTCAAACAAGAACTGAAAGACTCTTGCTGGCTACAAAAAGCGTTTACAAGCTGTGATACTTGCCAAAGGGGGCAGTACAAGATATTAACTCTGCAGGGTGCCCAAACTTTTGCAGACGCCATTTTTTTGTTTTCTGTTATTTTGAAAGTGTAAATGATGGAAATAAAATCAAACTTTTGTTGACATATTATAAGAATGTGTGGGTGGACCAGAACTAGACACAAAAAACTGACATTAAGACTAAGCATGCTACTATGTGCTACAGAGAAGGAACTCCATCTGTGGGAAAACAAGTAAAGGGGAAAACAAATTGTAAACCACCCTAGTGTAGTATCATTAAAAAAGTACTCCCTGCACCCGCTGTCACTATTTGAAGACAGCGTAGCTGTGTGGGGTTCTACCCACATGGCCATGTCCTTAACTTACAATTTCCTGTGAATGAATGTCTACAAGTACTGTCAGCCATTGCGGCTTACAGCTTGTAGTTCTTAATGAGCTATGAGGGCACTGGTGAGCACTCTCGTAGTCCATTGAACTTCCTGCTCTCAGATAACTGCTTGCTGGTACGAGGTATTGACAAACAGCTATGCTGAGAGTCTGCAGGAGCCTGAGATTGCACCCATGATTTGTTGATCTCACTGCTGCCCCTGTATCACTCTGGGTGGAAAGGGTGCCTTCCGTGTGAACGAGCCCTAAAAGTAGAAGTACATGCTGTGTTTGTGTTTATATGTTTTCAGCAGTGTTTCTGTTTTATTTTCAGGAAAGCTTATTATATCAGTAGATAAAGACACGTATGAAGAGTTAGGTTTGCAGGGCAAGCCATCTTTATATTCTGGAAAAAAACCTATGAGATATAGTAAGTTTTTTTTATCTTTTTTTTTTTTTTTTTTTTTTTATTATTGTGCTCTCACTTATCAGTGTATCTTACATAGCATCATCATCTTTATTTGTTCTTTGCAGTTGTTAATCTAGATCTTACAGATGAGGCCCTCTCCCAGGATGGCAAAAAACACCAGCGTGTGAGATGGGCCTTTACGGAGAAGAAGCCTCTGAAGTTTGATTTCCTCCTAGCATGGGATAACGCAGGTAAATACTGCATATGTTATGCTAACAACAGATGTTCCTTACAAAAGGTTTGTATGTTATTCAAACAAAGTCTGAACTGACTTTCAAGGTGCCTATTTTAACAATGATGTTTAAGTGGCAGTGATGCCTGTAAGTACCTATGTTTGCCTTCAAACCCCTATAGGGCCTTTTGGATCCTAGAGCCCGGGCCCTGATATCTGTACATTAAAACAACTGTGGGCATAAAAATATATTTTTAAATATACTCTTCAGTAGCCACAAAAGAAATAAATCCACTTTGTATGCCCCAAATGCCTTTGCAAACGCAAGTATTGCTTTGTAAATCTAGTTGCCCACTGAGACTCTGGTATTCAACCGTTGAATGACAGATGAACGTAGCATCATAGTGGGGAGGGCTTATTTTATCTTTAGGTCCTATGTCAAAGGAAAGGGGACACAATTTAGACTGACTTTAAGGGGCCACAGTTTTATCTTAGTCATTTTTCAACTCATCTTGATATTATGTTATATACAGTGCTCTATAGTAAAATTTCCTAACAGGTTGAGACAGTTTGTACTTGTGCTGTCAGAGCTCATCAAAGAACGTAATGTATCTGCTAGTGATAGAGCATGGTTAGTTGGTTTGAACTGGAGGTGGTATGCAAATGTTTACTATCAGTAATGGCTGCTGTTTTCGGACAGAACTTAAGTAGTGGTCAGCCTGCATTTGTACATTTAATTATTTATGCATTTGTACAAAAATGTGTCTTGTGTAGCAAAAAAAAAAAATAATGTGGAGTTTAGGATTTTTAACTACTTCCCTACCAGGCCAATTCTGACGTTTCTCTACTGCATGTAAAAATCATCATTTTGTTTGCTATAAAATTACTTAGAACCCCCCAACATATTTTTTAGCAGAGGCCCCAGAGAATAAAATGGCGGGTTTTGCAATGTTTTATGTCACGCAGTATTTGCACATTTAACTGGTGAGGGATGCCTCCTTAGGTACACTCAGCGTTTTAGACTTTTGTGCCCAAAAACAGAGTCCACCCTGTCTGGTGAGTGTGGATTACATAGGTGCACAGGTCACCAAGCACTTTTGAGAATTTCAAGCACTGTGAAACTTCATGAATGAAAAATAGCACGAAGTACTTTATTTTAAGATTTTTTTGGAAGATAATGAGCTCGGAGCACTTTTATTAGAAGACTCATATAGTTCACATTGTCTTTATTGGCATATAATTTTGGACATTGACGGACAACTTCATGTTATGATATATTCTAGGTATCAATTACTTTTTTATTTTAAATTTTTTAGCACATTATAGGTTATCTACGCGTGGGTTGTAAGTTTTTAATTTAGGTATTTGCGCAGTGGTTTTTCAAATGCAGATTGTGGAAAAAATACAATTTAATTAAATGTAGGCTGCATTCACACTTGAGTGTTTTGTAGCTTGAAGCTCCAAAAATGCTCACTTAAAAAATCAATTGTACTCTATGGTGCCTGTTCCTGCGATCAGGTGTGAAAAGGCACCATAGAGAGCAATTGATTTTTTATGTTTGAGCTTTTTTGGTGCTTCAAGCTACAAAACACTCAAGTGTGAATCCAGCCTTCGTGCACACATACACAATATAATAGCGAATTGTTCAGTAAAATATAAAAGATGATGTTATGTTGAGCAAATGGATACCTAACATGTCACGCTTTAAAACGACGTATGCTTGTTGAGCAGCGCCAAACTACGGTAACCAAAATTCTCCATAGGCGATACTTTAAAAGCCTTTACAGGTTACCATTTTAGAGTTACACAGGAGATCTGGTGCTATAATTATTGCTCTTGATGTGATGTTCTTTAACCACTTGCCCTACACAGGATTTACTGACCAGACCATTTTTTGCTGTTCGACACTGCGCTATTCAACTAGTAAATGCACTGTCGTGCAATGCTGTACCCAAACGAAATGTGTCTTTTTTTCACACAAATAGAGCTTTCTTTTGGTGGTATTTGATCACCTCTGCGGTTTTTACGTTTTGCGCTATAAACAAAGACCAAAAATTTTTAAAAAAAATATATTTTTCACTTTTGGTTATAAAAAATATTTAATAAATTCAGTTAGTCATACATTTAGGCTAAAATGTATTTTGCTACATGTCTTTGGTAAAAAAAATAAATCTCAATACATGTATATTAATTGGATTGTGTGAAAGTTAGTGTCTACAAACTATGGTGTATATATTGGAATTTACGTAGCTTTTACTTTCTGACTGCTTATCACATTTCTTGAGGTGCTAAAATACCACAGCAGTACAAACTTCCCCCCAAATGACCCCTTTTTGGAAAGTAGACACCCCAAGGATTTTGCAGAGAGGCATGTTGAGTCCATGGAACATTTTATTTTTTGCCACAAATGTTTTGAAAATGACATATTTGTTTTTTTATTATTTTTTTTTTTTACACAAAGTTGTCACTTTAATGATCTATTGCTCATGCATGCCATGGGAATATGTGGAATAACACCCCAAAACACGTTCTTCTATGGTAATGCCACATGTGAGAGTTTTTGGCAGCCTAGCTACATACAGGCCCCCAAAATCCATTGTCCACCTCAAGGCTTTCAAAGGGCATATTTCCTCATATCACTTTCGCACTACCTATCACAGTTTGGGAGGCCCTTAAATGCCAGGAGAGTACACCCCCCCCCCCCCCAAATGACCCCTTTTAGAAAGTAGACACCGCAAGGAATTTGATAAGAGGCATTGTGAGTATTTTACAGATATTATTTTTGTCACAAGGTTTTGAAAAAGAAAAAATAACTTTGGGGTCTAAACGCTAGTGTGCTGATCCTGCTAACACTGCGTTTTTGGGGACACTATACAAAGGAGGCACTAGTATAGTTCTGTTCATGATCATTATATTGATTTGTACAAACACTATACTAGTAATGGCGGCGATCAGCGACCTATAGCGTGAGTGCAATAGTGTGCCGGCAATCTAACGTTAGCTGACCCTGGCTGGGAGGAGCGCTAACTGACCATGATGCTAACTGATGTCGCTAGTGGCAGGAATGCAGTGATCAGTGAACTTTTTTTATATTCTGACATTGTACTAATGGCATTGGCTGGGTGACCAAAGAGTTAATAGGGGCGATTAAAGGGTTAAATGTGCTAATCTAAAGTCTGTGTGTAAAATATAGTGCTTTTACTTGGTGCCGTGTTCTCTCTTCTCTCCCTGGACCGACCAGGGGGCGTACGCACGTTCACACCCCAAAACAGGAAGCGACGCAAGATTACGTTGCTTTGCCAAGAGCTGCTGCTCGCCCACAAAATGCGGGTAAGCGGTTGGCATATAGTTAAAAAAAAAAACCTTAAAACATTTTTTTTTTTTACATTTCTCAATATAGTATTTTTTTATTTGTTAAAATGTTTTATTTTTTTCTGTAATACTTTTATCAGAATAGTACAATGTTACCATAGTGTGGGGGGGGGGGGTGATCAGGGATTCTTTTTTTTTTTTTCTTTTACACTTTGTTTCTCAGGAGCAATAAATATAATTTCTCATGCAATGCAAAGCTTGCTGTCATGAGTTAGCTAGTGAGCTGTGGGACAATCACAGCTCACTAGAGGAGAATAAGCAGAGCTGCTATGAATGAGATTGATTCATAACAGCCTTGCTTATATTGCGATCACATGATCACCGGGTCCCATTCACCGAGATCTTCATTCAGCTTTGTCCGCCGGACACAGCAGTCGGTGGGGAAGCGGGTACGTCACTTTGCCTGTAGCTGCCGCTCAGCCGCAGTACATTGCAGGCGGGTGGGAAGCAGCTAAAAAAAAAATATGTATTTTTTTTTATTTTTACAATATCTCTACATTTTTTTTAAATCACTTTTATTGTTTTCACACGGAATGTAAACATTCCTTATGATAAGCAGTGGCAGCTAATCTTTACTGAGAGGTCTGGGGTCAAAGACTTGCCATACATTATACATTTTTCCTTTAGATGTAACAAAACCTTATAATATGAGGTCAAACGTTCAATTTGTGTTCAGTCAGGCAGGTCCTTGCACTACATAGTTGAAGGTAAATTTAAAGGAAATTTAATTAGAAAATTGTATAATGTATGGCTAGCCTTTGACCCCAGATATTTTGAGTTTATTTTACTTTTGGTATTATGTGAATGGTATTATGGTTTTGTACGGGTAGCAACTTAGCTTGGAGGAAAGGCGCCATATCTTTTTTTTATTTCTATTTTGATTTACTGTAGTTGTTTCAGCCCTACTGGTTTTTATTGCTGTCTGCGCCCCTCTGTTGGATCAACAGGAATAGAAGTGAAATCTTCCAAAAGGTGCACTAGTTGATGTGACCTTGGTTGACAGCCAGGGATTCCCTCACATTGGAAGGATTTCCTCTCACTTCCTGTTGTGTCTATGGGACAGGAAGTGAAGGATAATCTTCCTCTGCAAAGAGTTCTAACCCTCCCTTACGTTATCCAAAATTAGAAAGTTAGATAGTTTTACTTTAAGTTGCTGTTTAAAAAAAACAGTCTCAAATTGTTCCACAACCTTTTCTTTAAAGGGTAACTCCACTTTCGTGGGAAAAATTGGCAGATAAAAAAAAACTAATATAGCATTTATAGTTGTGACACAAGTCCTATTGTAATTAAATGTTATTAAAAATGACCTTTCCTTTTCAATCTGCAGCACTGTAATCTTCTGAAAAATACAATGCAATATGTCTACCTGGAGGCTTTCTGTACACAGATGGTGAGGTGGTGTACGAAAGCCAACCACAACCCCCCACCACCCCCAGAAATGTCATGTCCTGCTTGTGTGATTGGCTTACTGATTTCCCAGAAGTCTGCACTAAGATACAAGTTAGATATTGAGTATCCCCTGCAATAAAAATGTAGTTTTTGGTGAGATACTCCCAAAGGGAAATCACATCTAAAGGGATGCAGACCCTGCAATTTTCTTCATTAGAGCCCTGCAGGCGCAGCAGCTGGTTGATCATTATCAAGCCACTACCGTACAGATTCACTCTGCACATGGATGCAGACACATGGATACAGACAAACAAACGTTTTCAGAATAAAAAAAAGTAGGAATCTGGAACAAAGTTTGTTAAAATTCTTGTAGTGTACATAGACCACCCAGAGGGGAATGCTTTTTTAAACAAAAGTGGAGTTACTTTTTAAATAAATAATTGTCCCATGCAATATTACTCGTCACGAATTTCCTGTAAATACAGACAGGGGCTTTTACCTGTTATCTCTTGCAAAGCATTCTTTCCACTGTAACCTACAATCATCACATCCTTCACTCTTATTGTTTTTTTACTCCTAAACTTCCTGAACACTTTGGTGTATATTATTGATTTTTGGCTGCTAATCACAAAAATATCTGGTCATTTATTCTGTCATGTACCATTTTAAAGAAATTTTCTGTATTTGCAATTTGTAATGCTCACACGAAAGAAAAATATATGAGAACATGGAACTGTTGAAGCACATCCAGCACACCAAGTACAAATGGAATATCTATAGAGACTTAAAAGTAGTGGCTGTGCTGCTTGTAATCCGGCACAGATATATCAAGTGCTGTTGTTACATATGCCAATGGAACAGCCATGCAAGAAAGTCACACTACATTAAAAAGGAAAGGCCATTCTGGAAGAATTTTTTTTCCAGGACAGAAAAATGAGGTACATGAACCACTTATTGACACAACAAATCTATAATATTGCCTTTGCTTCACATAAAACTCGGACTGATGAAAATGTTGTGAAAGTGATGAACAAGGAAGGTGAAGGTTTTTGTTGTTTGAGACAGGGATTTCCAAGAATAACTGATGCTAAGAGTAAAGTGCTGTAAGGGCAATTAAAATAACAAACATGTTATACTCACCTGCTCTGCTCACCTTTTCTGGGGTCCCCTGCCGGTGATATTGGCTTTTCCTATTCTGTGTCTGCCCCCATAACAAGCCTCTTGCTATGGGGGCAAATGAGTGGGCTTGCTCCCAAGCCGGGCTGTGTGTGTTTTAGCCCCGCACCTCCCTCTCTCTCTGCTCACAGGATTTGATTGACAGCAGCAGGAGCTAATGGCTTCCAATGCTGCACAAACGCCCTGTGAGAAGAGAATGACTGAGAACTGCTGCTGGGCCCTTGCTGGATCCATACAGGACTTAATGCAGGGAATGCATTACAGTGGAATTCCTGCCCCCACCACCTCCCCCCCTCAATTTTTTTTTAATTCAGCAGCTACAAATACTGTTGCTGCGGACTTTTAATGTTAGGGCACGTACCTGTCCATGCATCCAGCGGTGTCCGCACCCCAAGCCAATTCTTCAGTTGGGTGCTGGCGCCACCATCTTAACTAAGGGAAACCGGCAGTGAAAGCTTGTCACTTCACCACCTTCTACTTTGCATGTGCAAAGCGTGCTGCGCTTTGTGAATGAGCCGCAGTCCTCTGGGACCCTTGAAGTGTCCTAGAGGGCTGCGGTGGGGTATGGTGAACTTCCGGCTCACTTCGCGGCAGGAAACTGAGCTGGAAGTGGGAGTGGGTATCTATCAAAACCAGGTACCCACTCTTCCCTCCCCCCCCAAAAGGTGCCAAATGTGACAGCGGACGGGGGAGGAGGCAGAAAAGCGGAGATTCCAATTTGGGTGGAACTTTGCTTTAAGGAAAAATGTTTTTGCTTTAGAAGCACTTTAAGGAAGGCATATTTGTTTGTCCACCGATCTGACTTGTCATCATGTTCAAAGATCTGTTAGCGGAGCCAGAGAAAATTGCTTAGAAAACATTAAAGGATGTCACTGAGAATTTTCTTGACAATGCCAGAGCACAAAACTACATTCAGCTGGTTGACAAACTTCTTACAGCATGCAAGATAATGAAGTGCAACATGTCACTGAAGATTCATTGCTGGACACTGCAGCGGACGCTTGCATACAGAGTCGAAAATCATCAGCAAAACTGTTTTAGCCTTGTTGAACTAATGCAGCATGTCAGAAACATTATGTGATTAAATACTTTATAATCATTAAAAGTTAATTTCATATTCATCAGGATTCCTACATGATACAGTCATTCTGAAATTATGTTTGAGTTCATTTGAAGGGATTTATCATAATTGCCAAAAATCTTTCAGGAGCCAAAACTTACAAAAAAAAAAGTGTTGTCCAGTGCGGTTATAGAAAGCAGCACTAAGAGCTTGTTTTGTGCACTTTTATATTTTACTGTAAGTGCTTGTTCACACCGTGCAGAGGCTTCAGTTTTTCTGCAAGTGTTCTGCAAGGGCACAATGAAATCAATTGTTCTCTATGAGCTCTGTTCACACCACAACACTAGTATCACGTGCAGATTTTTTTTATCTGCACAGGAATCTGCAACTTGTATAAAACTCATTGAAGCTCACATGAAAACCGATGTAAACTGGTGTCTCTGCAAGTGAAACCTGCGCATCAGTTTCTATCAGATTTTATGCACGTATGGTGTGGAGGCCTTAAATGAGCAACATTAAAGCCACAGCCTAAAGCAGCATTAAACCCAAAGCCAAAAATGTATTCTAATGCAGTTTACCAAATCTTAGAAGTGGTGGCTGCATTAGTTTTTCTTTGTTAGGTTTTTCCCCCCCTCTTTTCACCTGGTGATCTGGCCAGTACCATACCTCCTGTATTAGAGTGCCCCCACTCTGGATGAAGGAGCATTGTTAATCTGGGGGAGGGTAGTGTTTAATGGACTAGCACAGGCCCTCCAGCTGTTAAAGTAGTAAAAGTCCCATCATGCCTCTGGGAGTCTTGCCTGTGGATGTCAGAGTCTTACAAGGGTTTTGTTTTTTTAAAGGGTTTTACATGAATAAATAAAATCTGATCATTGTAAACACCCCTGTCAGTGATCAATGGTTTGTCTCAACACTAAATACTTTTGCAGGAGTGCCTGTTCTGTTGAAAAACAACAGACTTACTGGTCAGATCAACAGGTGAAAATAAAGGAAAGAAAGCTTCAAAAGGAAAATAAATGCAGCCATCACATCTAAGAATTGGTAAGCCACGATATAAGAAATGCTTGCTTTTGGGTTTAATATCACTTTAAATGCACTAACTGAAATTTTTAATTTGGTACCGAGACTTGCTCCTCCTAGCTGAGCCAGACAAACGTGCATGGCTGAGGGTTATAATTTAATTTGGCTTCCAAACTGCAACTGATTTAGAGCCTTTCTTGCAACAAAGAAATTGGGTATTGTATAATTAATCATGCAGTGGCTGTACTATTTTATTTTCTTAAGGAGTTCAAAGTAATTTAGTATTTTACCACATATTTTAACTTTTGGTCTGGTTAATATGTTGAAATATAGTAAAGGTCTCTATATCAGTGTGACTCAGATGATTATGGTCATTTGTTATGACTCATTCATACATTGGCTTGATACATTTGAAACGCATCATTGCGCTTGTTTTCCAAGTGAGACATTTATGAATGCATTTTTATGTCTTTTCAGAAGCACCGACTATAAAGACGTATTTTTCAAAATATGTGGTCAGAGAGTGCCCATTTAAGATCAGTTCTGCTGTTTCAAAAGATGTGCTTTGTCCTGTATTGAAGAGCAGAGACAGAGGGAAAGAGGGGGAGTCGTTTAGTGCTGTGGAGATTTTCGAGTGGCTGGGTGCTGTATGCAATAATGTCAATTGGTAGGTATTGTTTTCACAATGGCTTAATAAAAACAAAGATTGTCCAAAAATGTTTAGCTCAAAAAATCTTTGGAAAGTGAGCAGAGTTTTTGATGAAAGAATTTAACGTAGAACCAAAGGGAAAACCTTTTTTGTTTTCATTTTGGATAAGGTAAGAGAGGGTTATAAACCCCTGTAAGGTTTATTTTGCCATCTGTCTTTTTGGGAGATTTCCCTTCACTTTCTGTCCTATAGCCAAAACAGTACGTGAGTGAAAATCCCTCTAAAGTGAAGGAATCCCTGGTTGTCTCCTAGCATCACCAGAATTAGTACCCTATTGGAAGATATCCGACTACTTCTGTTTTTGGGACAACAAAAAATTTGGGATTTTCTTTTACTTTTACTTTCCACAATAATGGTAAACATGACAAATAAAAAGCGTGAGTCTCCCTAACAGGAGCACAGCCAGCAATAAAAACCTGACAGGTATTCTAATCGTATTATATCCAAAACTAAAGTTTTCCCTTTACTTATACTTTAACCACTTGCCCTCCTGGGGATTTAACCCCTTCCTGACCAGGCCATTTTTTTTGTTCGGCACTGCACTATTTCAACTCGTAATTGCGCGGTTGTGCAGTGCTGTACCCAAACAAAATGTATGTCCTTTTTTCACATAAATAGCGCTTTCTTTGGGTAGTATTTGTTCACCTCTGCGGTTTTTAATTTTTGTGCTATAAACAAAAAAAGACTGCAAATTAAAAAAAAAAAAGATTTTTTTTTACACTTTGCTTTGCAGGAGAAATAAAGATCATTTCTCCTGTAATGCAAAGCTTGCTGTCAGAACCTAACTCATTCATGAACTGTCATGAATGAGTTAAGTTTTGCCTTCTCAGGATAGTGATCTGTGATTGGCTGGAGCTGGTCACACGGTACAGGGTGCTGTTATTGACCCCCATGTATCATGTGACAGCTGTGGGACAATCACAGATCACTAGGAAGAGAAGCAGAGCTGTTATGAATGAGATTGATGCACAGCAGAACAATAGAAAGCAGTATGCTTACATAGTAAAACGGTACACAGCGCATAATGTGAAACACACAGCACACAGTTAACCCTTTGATCGGCCCAGATGTTAACCCCTTCCTGCCCAGTGTCAGTAGTGTCAGTGCTTTTTATTAGCACTGATCACTGTATTAGTGTCACTGGGGATGTTTGTGGCAGTTCCCCCTAGTGGCATGGAAGCTATCAGCTCCCCCTAGTGGCATGGAAGCTATCAGCTCCCCCTAGTGGCATGGAAGCTTTAAGCTTGTGGCATTGCTGAGATGTTATGGAAGACCAGGTTGCTTCGATAGCGGCCTTCAGCTCTTCTGCATTGTTCAGTCTCATGTCTCATCTTTCTCTTGCCAATGCCCCATAGATTCTCTATGGGGTTCAGGTCAGGCGAGTTTGCTGACCAATCAAGCACAGTAATCTCATGGTCATTGAACCAGGTTTTGGTGCTTTTGGCAGTGTGGGCAGGTGCCAAGTCCTGCTGGAAAATTAAGTCAGCATCCCCATAAAACTCATCTGCGGAAGGAAGCATGAAGTGCTCCAAAATCTCCTGGTAGACGGTTGGGTTGACCCTGGACTTAATGAAGCACAGTGGACCAACACCAGCAGATGACATGGCTCCCCAAATCAACACAAACTGTGGAAACTTCACACTGGACTTCAAGCATCTTGCAGTGTGTGCCTCTCCATTCTTCCTCCATACTCTGGGTCCTTGGTTTCCAAATGAGATGCAAAAGTTTCTCTCATCAGAAAAGAGGACTTTGGACCACTGAGCAACAGACCAGGTCTGTTTTTCTTTAGCCCAGGTAAGACGCTTCTGATGTTGTTTGTTGTTCAGGAGCAGCTTGACAAGAGGAATACGACATTTGAAGCCCATGTCCAGGATCCGTCTGTGTGTGGTGGCTCTTGATGCACTGACTCCAGCCTCAGTCCATTCCTTGTGAAAGTCCCCAACACTTTTGAATGTCCTTTTCCTGACAATCCTCTCCAGGCTGCGGTCATCCCTGCTGCTTGTGCACCTTTTTCTTCCACACTTTTCCCTTCCACATAACTTTCTATTAATGTACTTTGATACAGCAGTTTGAGAACATCCAACTTCTTTTGCAATTACCTTTTGAGGCTTTCCCTCCTTATGGAGGGTGTCAATGATGGTTTTCTGCAAAACTGTCAGGTCAGCAGTCTTTCCCATGATTGTGATTCCTACTGAACCAGACTGAGAGACCATTTAAAGGTTCAGGAACCCTTTGTAGGTGTTATGGCGTAATTAGCCGATTAGAGTGGGACACTTTGAGCCTAGAATATTGCACCTTTTCACAATATTCTAATTTTCTGAGATTGTGGATTTGGGGTTTTCATGAGCTGTAAGCCATAATCATCACAATTATGACAAATCACGGCTTGAACTGTCTTGCTTTGCATGTAATGAGTCTATCTCATATATTAGTTTCACCTTTTAAGTTGCATTACTGAAATAAATTAACTTTTGCATGATATTCTAATTTTTTTTTATTTTCCCCTGTATGTGTATAATGCATAATTTAATGGTTTCCCTTTTTCCATTTTCAGCAACAATCAGGCATCCAGTTTCTTATCAAGCTTTTGTTGCCCAGATCCAAATACTTTGGTAGAGAAAGTTTATGTATGCACGATTACTGGATTCATAACACCAGCAAAAATAATGCAGTTGTTACAGCAGCTCCGGTAAGGCTGATGTGGGAATGATTTCAGGGCCTCTTTACACCTTTTCGCTTAATGGCTTAAAAATCCATTGAGTATAATGTGCAGCTAGAGTTTTTACATCTGCAACAGTTTGCAGTTCTTACAGCTAAGGGCAAATCTTGGACCAAGCTCCAACACTTCTAGAAGAGTCAAAGCCTTGACCTAGAACAACCTGCCTCTGTTGCATTTAGGAAGAAGCATTAGTCAAGATGAGGCAGGTATTTCATGTGCAGCACAACATATTTAAATTGCTTGAATAAATGTTTTTTGCATACTTTACTATTGATCTCTATGGAAGATGGACTTCCTGGAAACCACAGCAAGGAGAATTTAATGGAAAGAAAAGATAAACTGTGTACTAACATACATAGATGTAGCTATACTATTAAAAATAATGGACATAAAGTTAGGTGCAGTGTAAGCATGAAAATGTGAATAGACCTATTTGTTTAAAAAGCAACATTAGTTCAAAGTAGCAATTTTTATGGGGTTTTACTTTTAAACAATAATTTTTTTTAAGACATTAGTACTGTTTCATGAAATTATATTACTGGTATTTCTTTCTTTATTAAACCGGATAGGAACATCTAATAGACTGGTGATATTTTCAAATTGGCTGACATTTACAGTGGGTATAGAAAAGAATCACCCCTCTTTAAAATAATCCTGTTTTGTTGCTTTGCAGTCCGATATGAAGATAGACACAGTTTTTTGTTTTATCCAGCTGTATTTACTCTGCAACGTATAACATTCAAGTGAAAGATATAACACCAACCTGTCAGGAAAACAAATTTTAAAAATTCATTAACCGAATCACTGAGTTGGAAAAAGGATTAAACCCCCCCCCCCCCCCAAAAAAAAATAATTACTTGTAAACTCAATCAGGTGTACCTTCACCAGTGGCACACAGTCGCTTTAATTAGCTCAGCATGAAAAGAGCCTTCCTGGAGCATTTCAGTCCCTGCTAGTGCAACTGAAGCAAACAACTATGGGTGGCAAGACACTGTCAAAAGATCTCCCGGATAATGTTGTGGACAGGCACAAGTCAGGAGATGGATAAGAAAAAAATTTCAAAGGCTTTATCAATGCCTAGAAGCACAGTGAAGTCTATTATTAAGAAGTGGAATGCATTTGGTACAACATAGACCTTCCTTGGATCAGGACGCCAATTCAAACTGGATGAAAGAGTCAGGTGGAAACTGGTCAAAGATGCTACCAAGAGGCCTACAGCAACTCTGAAGCAGTTGCAGAAATTGATGACAGAGTGATCGTTGTGTGCATGTGACAACACTATCACAAATTTTCCACAAATGTGGCTTGTACAGGAAGGTTGCAAGAAAAAACCCACTCCTCGAGAAAGCCCACATTTAGTCATGACTGAGCTTTGCCAAAATACATCTTGAAGATTCTGAGGCCACATGGAAAAATGTGTTATCGTCAGCTGAGACAAAAATATAATAATTTGGCCTCAACACTAAACAAAATGTATAGCAGAAATCCAATACAGCTCACTATCCAAATAACATCATTCCTACAGTAAAGCATGGAGCTGGTAATATCCTGTTATAGGGGGGTTTCTCTGCAGCAGGGACTGGAGCACTTGTCAGGATAGAAGGAAAAATGGATGGGGCAAAATACTGTTAAATTCTTGAGGGAAATCTGCTGCCCTCTGCCAGAAAGTTGTCCATGGGAAGGAGGTTTACCTTCCAACATGACAATGACGCAAAGTTCACAACAAAAATAACCACACAGTGGTAAGAGCAAAAAGGTGAATTTCCTTGCATGGCTTAGTCAGAGCCCAGACTTAAACCCCATTGAAAATCTGTGGAAGGACTTGAAGACTGCAGTCCACAAATGATGACCATCAAATTTAACTGAACTTGAGCAGTTCTACAAAGAAGAGTGGACAAATATTGTAAAGTCTAGATGGCAAAGTTAGTAGAGACATATCCCAGCAGAATAAAGGCTGTAATTAAAGCAAAAGGTGCTTCAACAAAATACTGACACAAGGGGGGATCCTCTTTTCAAACTCAGTGATTCTGACATGTTGGTGTGATATATATTTCACTTGAATGTTATAAGTTGCATTGAGTAAATACAGCTGGATTAAATTTGAGTAAATACAGCTTCATATCAGGCTGCAAATCAACAAAATGTGGTTATTTTAAAGGGGGGTGATTCTTTTCTATACCCATTGTATAATGCTATGTTCGCCCAGTATTTTCCATGAAGGCCCAAGTTACAGTCCTTTAGTTAGCTTCAGCACTGTGCTTGTAGCTAACTAGTGATCTAAGGCCTGTGATGAAAGCAGTAAAAAGTCAAGGACCTATTTATTCAATAAAATGGAACTATAGACAAAACTTTAAAAAAATTGGATAGATAGTAATGAGAATTTCTGACATTTTAAGATACTGCAGTTATCCATATATTGGATGGAGTGGTAAGACACTAGAATAGTTATCTTAAATGAAGAATTGCAACAAGTAACCTTTTTTCTTGCTTCGTTTAGGCAGGAAGATAGTTTTTGGTATCAGACTTGCAGTGTACAAAGATGATAGTTCTGGGGACTTCAGCTAATTCTACTTGAGAAGATGACAATTTCTTGGAAAGATTAAAAGCCCATATACTAGATATTGTAATAATGGCTTCTCAGGAGGTCTTGTACTACAGCTGGCTGGGCACTTCTCTTGCCTTCTAAAAGTCTATCATAAATATTAAACACATTGGGGTTGATTTTTTTAAATCTGTAGAGTGCAAAATGTGGTGCAGCTGTGCTTGGTAGCTAATCAGCTTCTGATTTCAGTTTGTTCAATTAAGCTTTGACAAAAAAAACAAACAAACATTGAAGCTGATTGGTTTCTATGCAGAGCTGCACCAGATTTTGCACTCTTCAGTTTTAGTAAATAAACCCCATTGTGTTTTAAAGGTAATGGTCTTCAATTTAAGAAAGGTTTGACTACTTAATGACAGCAGAACAATAACATTGAAAGAAATGTTAATTTCTTTTTACACTTTGATATGTATTCATTTACACTTCTGTATATATTTCTATTTCAGAGAATATTTTGATGAACCAAAATTAAGTCAGTGGGCATCCCTTATGGTGAATGGATTTGCAGACAGTCCTGTATCTTGGAAAGAAAGTGAACATGGATTTTTTAAAGGTGGTGAAAATTTGTACAGTTTTGTGGTCTTTAACAATGAAGACTACTGGCTACACATGGCTGTTGGGACACACAATGGCTGCCCACCATAATTATTTATTTATTGCACTTGCATGTGTAAACCTTTAACATTGGTGTTTCCTCAATTCAATGACAGCTTTCAGATGATTTGGAGCCCCACATGAATTTCCAGGGAGTTCTTCATCAATAACAAAGACTGGGAATTACATTATCAGAATTGCATGCATTTAGATCTGTTGTTGAATCTGCAAAATCAGATCAGATTGCACTCTGTGAGTGCTGTTTGGGTGGAATCCAGTCTATGTATACAATGTGACAAGATGGGGGAGTTGAGGATAGATTGAACCCAAATTTCAGATGGGTCAAAATTATCTCAGAGGAACTCGTTAAAAAGTAGCACTTCAGATTTACGAATGAAATATTTTGGTAGTAAATACATAATTTTTGATATAGTAATGAAATTTTGAAAACAGATGTGTATGTGGTCCTGAAAATAAAGGATTTTTTTTTTGCATGTACTGTTCACATTAAAGTCACTTTGTCATGCTAGAAATGGCAGATGTAAGATTGCAACATGAAAATGTACAGTAAGGTCTCATGCACATAGGATGTTTTCCTAACTCCGAGAAGCCTGTCATCCCAGCAGCAGCATTTTGGTAGAAGAAAACCACCTGACACTTGTAAAAGTCACGTCAAGCGTTTGGGCATAATAATTTATTCTGGCCATTGAACTGAATTAATGCTCAAGCACTAAACTTGCCTAGCGTTTAGATGCGTTTACATGCGTTTAGAAGCGCCAGGCGTTTATTTTGCCAAAACTCTGCTGCTTTTAGACGCACTGGCAGTGGGGTTTTTTTCTGCCTCTAAACTCCTATGCCTCCCAACTCCTCTAAAAGTTTGTGTATGTAGACTCATAGGCTTACATGCAGTAGAGTTTAGAAGTGGGGAAAAATGCCTGAGGACCATAGAAGCAGTTGTAAAAACATCCGGTGTGCATGAGGCATAATAGATATAAATCACCAGTTAAAGGGTCAGCTCATTCAAAACGGTTATTTCAGTGCTGCAGAGTTAAAGCACCTGATGGCTTCTTATATCCCTGGGTGGCTGTGTTGGTTTGATATCTACACTGGAGTTCTGGGTATGCAGCCCTGCTTTGTCCATTTTGAGGGGTCCCATTCACCCTTTTGAATTATTTACTTAATATTTTGGACAATGCAACAGATGTGCTAGAGCACATAAAGGTGAGTAGGAACACCCGGATAGAGGAGAAAATAGCCAGAAAGTAGGGGAGAGAGATCACTGTTGCAGGATACCAGCTTGACAGATATCACAAGGGTAAAGCAATTCAAGCCACATTGGGGAAAAAAAGAAGCTCAAAAAATGTATAAAACTGGTGCAAAAAAAAAAAATAATTAACTCTTTGATCATGAGTTGGAGATTAAACACACATATGCATCAGAAGGGAGAATTTTGTCAAGATTTTGGTGCCCAGTAAATACATGGAGAATTGGAAGTTTTTATTTTTCATAGTGATCTGCAAAAGCTCTGCCTGTGTAAACTCAGATGAATAATAATAAAGTGTAGCACTCCAACTCCTCTCCCGGCATTGGCACAGTATACACTCCCCCAGCTGACGCTCTCATATAATTTGCATTATGGAAAACAAAAGTGGAAACATAGTGTTCTCTATTTATAAAACAATTCATTAGCACCCAGATTAAAAACACTTAAATGTAAGAAACAAGCCAGCATATAATGTATAATTTCATTACATGGCTCACCACCCCACTCTCCCAGATGGTCATCAGTTGGTGGAAGGAGCTGAGCCCTAGAAGTTTTAAACTGATGATCATCTGGGAAATGCTGATTATATGAGAGGAGTGTATACTGTGGCAGTGCCAGGAGAGGAGCTGGAGGAAGACCAATGAGTGTGCACACAAGTCTGTCCACATGTTGAGCACATAATGACCTATTGATGAGGTCATAAAGTAAGGTGAGCAGGTTTTTCACCTAATGCTGGCATGATTGGCACTGAAGAAGAGATAAGATATATCTTATACACATTGCACAGTGGTGTTACAAGAGACTTTTTTGTGGGACTTTATTGTTTAATATTTATTTTTATATGAGATATTAGTCTGTTGCGCTACACTTTGTTATTCATTTTGGTACAGGTGTTGTGAAGTCACTAACAGTGTTTTAGCAGGAACTATTTAGAGCTCTAATATATTATTTTAGGGTGTGTTGCGCTGATTGAATAGGGGTTTAGATTGTGTAAATTCAGAGTACATCTAGGAACTTACTGGAGCTACAGGAAAAATAAAATAGGCTGGGGAGAAGGATATGGATGAAACTCCTGGATGTGGGATTGGTTCCCAGCTATGCCTGACACTTCCAGGGTTGACTGAGAACAACATTTAGTGGATCCTGGAGCAGCTGTTCATGGTAACCTGTCAAGCTTCTATCTTCTATCATTTTTTAGGCTTAACTGAACAAGCTGAAAATAGAAGCTGAATTGGTTGCCATGCACAGATTGTGTCTGCTCCAGTTTTAGTACATTCCCCACATTGTTTGAAAGTGTCCACCAAGCCATTAATAATAGACAGAGATGTCTGTATTCTCTGCTACTCTGTTCTAGTTACTATGAGGTTAATTTACCAAACACAAATAGGATGTTCACTTTGCAAGGGAAGTTGCACTTTGAAAAGAATACTCAATTGTGCAATGAAAAATAAAAAAGAAAACAGCATTTTTGCTTGCACATGATTGAATAATGGAGTTCGGTAGAGCTTCACCGTATTCACTAAGATCTGTGTAAAATTCATTTTCAAAGTGAAGTATATATTTGCATTTAGCAAATCAACCCCTTTGCTTCATAAAGAGATTTTATAATGGGTTTTGGGTGAGTTCACAAACAGTTTTAAAGTTGCTGTGAAATGCTGAAGTTTTTTTTTTTTTTAACCTGAATGCATTCTCTGATCTAAGGTAAATAACCTTCAGTGCTGTTTGCCCCCAAGTATTCCAACATGATGAATGCACATGCAGTTTCACAGGTGTTGTCGGAAAGGAGGTACAAGTAAATGTTTAGGGTCTCTTTACAAGAGTTGCAGCTCTCAGTCCCATTGCCAGAAGTACAGTGCTAGCTGTACCTTCCGGCATGAATGAATATTTTACACTACACAGCACTAATCCGGATGTGAGATAAACCTCAACAGAGGTAACTTTTCCCCACCACAAGTCAGAAAATCTCTGTCTTGAGTTCTATTTAAAGAAATAGGACTCCTAGTAGGTGTAGCATGCGTAGCAGCCACACCCTGGGCAACAGCTTTGACAGGCTGGCCAAACCAATATGAGAGTAGCCGTTGGGTCAGTGA